ATATAATAATTAAGGGTAGTTTTAGGATTCTCAAGGGTTGTTCAAATAAATTTTTATTTTTTAAATTATTTTATTTATAGTGTTTTGAGATCCATATGAAATATTTATAATATTTACAATAGAATACTTAGGGGTAGTTTTAGGCTTCTCAAGGGTTGTTATAAAGTTATTTTATTTTATATAATTTTGAGAGCACCCATATATCGAGAAATATTTTCCCAAAACAAAATGGAGGTTCCTCAAGTACTTTGAAGCTCCATGAACGGGGTGTTGACTATTGCATTGGTAGTGTTAGGCTTCTCAAGGGTTGTTAAACTATATCTATCATTAAATTATTGTATTTATATAATATTGAGACCTTCTATGCATAGAGAAATATTTTTCAATACAAAATGGAGGTTCCTCAAATACTTTGAAGCTCCATAAAGGAGGTGTAGACTATTGCAGGGGTAGTTTTAGGCTTCTCAAGGGTTGTTCAATTATATCTGTCATTAAATTATTTTATTTATACTAGATTGAGACCACCCATGGAGAAATATTTTCCCAAAACAAAATGGAGGTTCCTCAAGTACTTTGAAGCTCCATAAAGGGGGTGTAGACTATTGCAATGGTAATTTTAGGCTTCTCAAGGGTTGTTTAATTATATTTATCATTAAATTAATTTATTTATATAATATTGAGACCTCCTATGCATGGAGAAATATTTTCCCAAAACAAAATGGAGGTTCCTCAAGTACTTTGAAGCTCCATGAAGGGGGTATAGACTATTGCAATGCTAATTTTAGGCTTCTCAAGGGTTGTTTAATTATATTTATCATTAAATTATTTTATTTATACAAGATTGAGAGCACCCATGGAGAAATATTTTCCCAAAACAAAATGGAGGTTCCTGAAGTACTTTGAAGCTCTATAAATGGGGTGTAGACTATTGCCATGCTAATTTTAGACTTCTCAAGGGTTGTTTAATTACATTTATCATTAAATTATTTCATTTATATAATATTGAGACCTCCTATGCATAGAGAAATATTTTTCAATACAAAATGGAAGTTCCTCAAGTACTTTGAAGCTCCATAAAGGGGTGCAGGTCCACTTGAAATGAATTTTTAAAACAAAGTAGCGCTTCATATCGCCTTTTCTGCGTCGTAGGCGTCGATAGGAGGTTGCAGTGGAATTTATGAAAAACCCTGTACCCTGTAATATCCCTCTTACGATCGTGTTTGACGCGACCTCTCGACCAGGCCAGCTTAACCCCACTTACCCCTCGGCTGCTCACCGTGGCGGAGAGGATTTAATACTATATTTCAGGCTAGCGCGAATGTTTTAAGCGTGCAAACTGTCAAAACACCGGCTCGCACGGGGTAATTGGATTCCAAAGGGTTAGACGACTCGTCGTCGTCGTCGTCGTCCGCGTGGCGGTTCTTCTTCTCGCGGTTCTCGGCTCATTTTTTATTTACACCGTCCGCGGAGGACCAAAGTAGGTTAAGGAGTGCTAAAATTGTGTGCTCCGGGGACATCGCGTCGCGAAAGAAGGTTGTCTTTTACGAGCTCGTCCAAAAGAAGATTGATATCGTTAACGAAAACTTCTCGGTTTATGCTACGAAAAATAAAAATTTTTCTTTTATCGTTTCCGTGGAAATCATTTCTGTAGGTTTTTTTTTTTATTATTTTTGTCGCGTTATTATATATAGGTTTCCTTGTTATTTTCGACGCGCGGAGGCTGGAACAATGTTGCCGTCGATGACGAGGTTAAAAATACTTTTTTGATTCAGCGTACGCGATCTATAACAGGCTATTTTTGTAGGCGGGAAAAATATGTTTACAAACGAGATCTTCCTTTTCACGTTCGCTTTTGGAATTTTTCTAGACTGGGAAATGGTGTTTCGAGTGCACGGTTTTTGAGTTCGTGTGTTTTCTTTTTTGTGCTCGCGGTGCGGGTGAATCTCGTTAGACCGGTGCCATAATCGCATGTACGTTCGATATAGACGCTTGTGCAGCATAACTGAGCATGCACGGGTATATCCAATAACACGTACAAACCCCAGCATACTCGAACAAACGAGTTCTTAATATGACAGGAAAATGGGGAGACTAAATACACTCTTTGGATGGTTTAAAAAATTTTATTCAAAACCTTTATACACATTTTTGGGATGTGTAGCTTGCATAAACATCGTACGATTCTTTCAAACTTAATTTTTAAAACTATTTTATTACAGATAATTTTATTTACACCCTCTATGCTAGGATTAACAATAAAAAAAGATAGTTACACTGTAAAATTACAAAAATCCAGTCCATTAAATTTTTTACAATTTTTATCCATGCGTTCACTGTCCAGTTTCTTAACGCCGTATCCAAAAGCATGGTGCTATGACCCATATACGGATCACGGACAGTGGATGTGTTGGCGTTTAAAATAGAAATTCTGGAGGTGGTATATCGCGTGATACGATAGTATACACTTTGATTATGTCGAATAAAAACTTTATTACCAAACATTGACACATATTTTTCAAGATTTATTGCAATTTAGTCGTAAAATTCGTACAAAATTCTTTCGATTCTAATTTTTTAAAATGAATATTCGCGTTACTCGAGACATCAAGTCGACGTCAGATGTAATATAAACAAGTTTGAAAATAAAGTGTGGAATTTGGGTACTCAGAGCCTTGACTGTAAATTGGCTCATTAGGGAAGGCGACCGCCAGTCTGTAAACAGAATTCCTTTGTCGAAATACCTGCCTTTGTTGCGATCGTGGCCCCGAGGGTTCGCCAGATAGATCGAAACACGGAAAAACATTCCCCTTTCCTCGGAGCGTTGTTGTTTTCCCCGCAAAGTCGACGCTGGAGGAACCTGGCACGACGAAAGATCACCAAATCGTCCATTATAAAATAAAAATGTGTCAAACATATCCGTCCATCGTTTCATTATTTAATAAATCTGTGACCTCCAACGAATGGAATATTATTACAAGCGTGAAGAAAAAATGTTAAAAAGGGTGGAAAGTATCGCGCTAAAAATAATGTAAATCTTCGCGAGGGCGTTGGAAACATATTTTATTGTCTCGCGCGAAGACGTCGAGGTCAAGAGACTCTCGCCGTGAGCTTTACAAACGCGATTCTCGGCTGGAAAGGTGGATTGGCAGATCCAGAATGTTCGTAAAAATATTTTTTAAATATTCTAGAAAAATAATTCTATGAGAGAAACTCTATTAAAATTGTCAAAAAACTGTCATTTATTGCTTTGTGAATATTGGAAACAGCCATGGATATTTTTAGTACCCCTATTATTGCCTCCATCGCAATTCAAGATCAGAACAATAGAAAAATGAGAGAAGCTTGCGTTCGAAAAAAAGGGGAAACCCCCCTTTCGTTGCAGGTATCAGAAAATCACCACACAACGCGTCCCGGTAGCATCCGTTACGTAACGTGAAACGTAACGAAACAACGACCGGTTTGAAATCCCACTGCAACTCCGCGAACGATCCCACAAAGAACGGAGAGAATCGCAGAAAAACCCGGCGGCGGATCAACCGCGCCCGTTGCGACCCTATAATCGTATCTCGTTTCGTCGAGCACGTCCACGGGGACTTTTCCCTGGAAACGGAAGCCCGTCCTTGTGTGAGACTCGTGCACACGGACGACCCATGCGTCTGCCAGCGGCTAGGCAGACCAACGGCGGAGCAGAGACCGTTCGCGTAGCGATGGGACCGAAACAGAGCACCAAATAGTTCAAGAGACATCGATAATGGGGAATAAAACGCTCTGACTGGGGGCTAGAATCGTCCTAAGTGGCTAGAAAATAGATATGGAACTTGGGGAATAGGCATAGAGGGTCGAGACTTCCGGTTGGAGGGTTGAGGAACCTTCAACTTCCAGTGAGGAACTTTTTTGGGGCGGTATTTTATGTTAGATCTCTCAGGGTTAGTCGATGTTCTATCTCAAAGCTTTATTCGTTTTTTAAATTTGGATATCATTGTTCATATTAGCATTACAGTAGTGATTCTTAAAATGAACACTGCTTGGGGGGTTGGTACCTATGTTGGGGAATGTTAAATCCTTCAGGATTACTCACTATTCTATCTCAAAGCATTCCTCGTTTTCTAAATTCATATACTATTGTTCATTTTGGAACTAGAGTATTGATTCTTAAAATGAACACTGCTTGGAGGGTTGGTACCTATATTAGGGAATGTTGAATCCTTCAGGATTACTCACTATTCTATCTCAAAGCATTCCTCGTCTTCTAAATTCATATACTACTGTTCATTTTGGAACTAGAGTATTAATTCTTAAAATGAACATTGTTTATGGGGGCTGACATGTGGGGCAATCTTTTACAAAGCTATTTACATTACATTCTCCAGGTTTACTACCTCCTTTATCACAAATCATTCCTCATTTTCCAAATACAAACACCATAACTCGTATCAGGACTAATGATTCTTAAAATGAACATTCCTTTGGGGGCCCTGACACGGTTCACCTTCCGTACAGGGGAGGCAAAATTCAACCCCAGCAGATACCACCCAAAATCGTCGATGATTTGCAAGAAACAAAAATGTTCAACTTACGAATCACATGTGTTCATTTTAAGAATCATCGCCCCCACTAACTAATCTATATCCCATCCACTTTTCAAACATATCTCTAGACAAATTTCGAGGTCGAACGATGAGATCAATCATATTTTTCACCCCCTTTATTATTTTGATCCTGGCCCATTGGCGTAGCAACGAAATATTTAGAAAAAATTGCTCGACGTTTCACAATCGTTTCCGTCGCTATGTCCACGTCTACCACGATGAAAGAAAGTAGGGCTTAATCAGTTAGTCGATAGGCAAATTGGCTTAGAGGCAGCGACCGACAGGGTGGTTTACAGAACCAGCAAGCCCTGCCAGTGACCAGTGGCCGAGTGGCGAATCAACCCTTCGCCGGTCGCATCCCCAATCCCTTCCTGGGGTTTCCTACGCCACGAACGCCCGAAATATTGCGACCTGTGCGACCCGGAAGTGACCCCCCTCTCCCCCCACAACTCGCGGTGCTCGAAAGTATTGGCCACTCGTAGCCCGAAAGAGAGCGGTTCCGTCGTTTTCAAATCGATGATCCGCCGAGGATCGTGGTGCATCGACGATCGTCGAAAGATTCGGACACTTTGATGGATATTCGGGGGGACTTCCGGTGGACGTGGCCTGTGGGTTGACCTCTGCGCGATATCGAGGATACCAGTCGAGCAAGAGTGCTGGTTGGACAAAGAGAATCGACACGGTAGAATGTGCAGATGATCGGTGAGTCCTGGATCGTTAGACACCCCTGGATCTTCATGTGAAATTTCTAGTTTTTATTCACCCGTTTCGGTGATTTTAATGTGGTTCAAAATATTGCAAACTTGTGTTCGAGTGGTTATACCTCCTTTAAAGTCAATTCTTAGAATTTTTTGGGGAAGTATTTAGTAATTTTTCTGGGGGAAAAGGGACGATTTTAATGTGCCCCAAAATAGCGTTTCAAAATTGTATTCGACTGGTCACTTCTACAAAAATTAATTTTTGGGAATTTTATACGCCTTAAAATGGTGTTACAAATTAATTTTTGGAGTGCAAAGGGTTATTTGATAAAATAGAAACATATCTGTAATTTTTGAAAAAATTAAAATTCCCCACAAATTGCATAAATATCCACAGTCTAGTGACAGTCAAGGGGTCATTGACATCCATTGCCTCGGGTCATCCGGATAGAAATTCTTTTTCTCGACCTTTGCTACGCCTTTGCATCGTCAATTTCCACCAGGAACACGTTTGATTTTCAGGAATGACGAGACACTCTCTGGTGATCCTATGCTGCTACCTGTACACGCTATTTGACATGGCGGCCCTGCACTTTCCGTGAGTAGGAGCATGTTTCTTTTTATTGGAAATTAAGCTCGGAACGCTCTGAGATCGACCCACGTGTCCATTTTTGCCCTTACGAAAGTTTGGCCATCGATCTCTCGCGCTTTCCGCGCCATTGTTCCTGCTGTTTATTTTCTCTCGCAAAAAGGACGAACCTTGGGACCGTGTACACATCGAGAAAATTATAAATTCTCTTTTTAAAATCATTTTAAAGGCTATGTAAATTTAACAGTTTGGAATTTAGACGATAAAGTGAGTTCGTCCTAGTTGCAAAATGGCGCTGGATTGCTGGGCCCAGCATCACCCGCGACTGTGTCGAGTTTCAGCGAGGAAATATGCGAACCGGTACTTTCCACGGAGGTCGAAGGCTGGCACATTAAGGTCGATAGCCTATCGTCCAGTACGTTTCGACTTTCGGCGAGAAAGCGCGGGTACCGGTTCTTTCCGAAGATCGAAAGGTAACGAACCTCCCCCAATCGACAGATTCAACGAAAGAAACCGTGAAACACTACCACGTATACTAGAAAATTTATCAAACACGTTCACTGTCCGTGACTCGTATATGGGTCACATCGCTGGGCTATTGGATACGCCGCTGAGGAACCGGACAGTGAACGCGTTGTTAGTCGACTCGTTTTCGTCTGACTCGCCTCGTCGCGTATATCTGGTGTCGATTTCAATGTCTACGAAACGTCCACGACCAGTAAGCCGGGGAATTCTTCTTCGTGAACCGGAAACCCGGATACGTCGGGCAAAGGGAGAGAAACGACAGGTATTATATCGACGCGACTGACAGATTTCTTTTGGAAGTCCTAAAATTCTTAAAAGTCTTGTTATGGATTATCAGGTTGGCAGGTTTCACCGGCGCTATAAGGCGCCATGCGATCGACAATAATCTAGAGACAGTGAACCGGACGTCGATCCCAAGGAATTCGAACATCATTAATATTGCAATCATTTCAAAATTAAAACGTCAAATTTTTAAAAATAGTCGAGGCAAAAAGTTGATTCCAAAAGTTGCAAAATTGGGCCAGGATAGTCCGAGTTTGAGGATGAGAATTTGAAAACGAGAGATTGATCCGAATCGATGATAATTACTAGAGATTATAAGGGCAGGGCTTATTAAAATGTCCGCATGTAAGGAACACGCGTATCTCGGCCGTACTTAAAGGTGTGTCAAGCACGAAGACCTATTATGGCTTCCGCGATATTGCTGTTTCATCGGAATCGCGCCAATATTTTAGACTCGTTCGATACTCGCGCTTTTACAGCGCAGATAATTTTATTTACACCCTACATGCTAGGATTAACCTCCAAAAAACAAAGTTACACCATAAATTCTCAAAAATCCACTCCATTAAATTTCGTACAATTTTTGTCAACGCGTTCACTGTCCGGATTCCTAGCGGCGTATCCAAAAGCACGGCGCTATGGCCCGTATACGGGTCACGGACAGTGGACGTGTCAGCGTCTAAAATATAAATTCTGGAGGTGGTATATCGCGTGATATGATAGAGGAACGATGGAAGAGACTGCGTTTCTCTAATTAGAAGCATTTTAATGGCAAGTAAATTGGTTTCGCGATTTACTGTGTCCGCGTCCAGGCCTCGCTTCTCCTCGCTTCTGCTTTCTTTCAGGGAGTCGGATCTCGAGGAGTACGGCAGAAAGGAAGCCTCTTTGTCGCTGAGGGACATCCTGCCTTTGAACCCCAAGCAATACGACAAGCACAGAGCACCGAAGTACTTGGGACAGCCCACCATCGTCTATTTCCACGTCACCGTTCTCAGCCTCGACTCCATAAACGAGGAATCCATGGTAGACATTTTCTTTTGTGCTCTCACGTTCATTAATAACATAAAAATAACCCTCAATTTCACCAGACGTACGTAGCGGACATATTTCTGGCTCAAAGCTGGCGGGACTCCAGGCTTCGACTTCCGGAGAACATGTCCGAGGAATACAGGATATTGGACGTGGATTGGCTGCACAACATTTGGAGGCCCGACTGCTTCTTCAAAAACGCGAAGAAGGTCACCTTTCACGAGATGTCGATACCCAATCATTACCTATGGTTGTACCATGACAAGACTCTACTTTACATGTCCAAGTAAGGACAGCTAAAGTAACTCCCAAAGGTGTGATAATTAAAGAAAGTAACAATCGTTTCATTTTAGGTTGACCCTCGTTCTGTCCTGTGCGATGAAGTTCGAGTCCTACCCACATGACACTCAAATCTGTTCGATGATGATAGAAAGCCGTACGTATAGCTTACATCGACTATAATTCCACATCTCCATGCATAGAATCAGACCGTAGGATAAAAACTGAGTTTCCCGCGCTCGCCGCCAGAGGGCCACGCTCTTGACTCTCTCGCTAGCGCTCGACTGACCCCTCCGTTTCTATGTATACGCTCCTCGACTGACCAGTCAGTGTCTAGGCGTCTGTGGGAGAGTCAAGACACGACCTCCTCTCTCTCTCTCTCTTATAGAAGCCTCCACAATTGTGTTGTCGAATAAATTGGAATTGTACTTCCCCCCAGTGTCGCACACGACCCAGGACCTGGTGTTCATTTGGAACATGACAGACCCATTGGTGGTGAATCCGGAGATCGAGCTGCCCCAGCTGGACATCTCCAACAATTACACGACCGATTGCACAATCGAGTACTCCACGGGGAACTTCACGTGCATACAGATCGTGTTCAATCTGCGCCGTCGGCTCGGCTACCACCTGTTTCACACGTACATACCGTCCGCGCTGATCGTGGTCATGTCCTGGATCGCGTTCTGGATCAAACCCGAGGCCATCCCGGCCAGGGTCACCCTGGGCGTCACGTCACTGCTGACCCTCGGTGAGAGAAATGTCAATTTATTTCGGGAAGAACCCAATCCCCTTTACCTAAGAATGACCACCATTGGCCTCAAAACTTGCAGAGACATTCAAATGTTGACGCCCTATTACAGAGAGGTAGATTTTAAGGTTAGGTTAGAGTCGTTGCATCAACTATGCAACGTCATTATGGCAACAGTGAATAAATCTAGTGAATTAGGAGTACTATAAAAGGAGGTTCAACATTCGAATGGTGCTGGTATAGAAAAAAGTCCCTAGGGTCCTTTGAATGAGGTTAGAATGCATTTCAAAGAGCAGAATCGACGGGGAGAGATCTAGAACGCATGTTTATCGTTAAAAGGCTTACAATTGTTTCGAATTTCGTCCTCAGAACTTGTAGAGACATTCAAATGTTGGCACCCCACCATCGAAACAGAATTTTAAGGTTAGGTTAGAGTTGCATCAACGATGCAAGAGTCCAAGAGCATTATTACAGTAAAAATGAATAGATCGACTGAGTTAGGAGGTAACCTACAAAACGAGGCTCGAAATTTGAATGGTACCGTACAGAAAAAAGTCCCTAGGGGCCTTTGAGTGAGGTTAGAATGCATTTCAAAGAGTAGAATCGACGGGGCGAGATCTAGAATGCATGTTTATCCTTAAAAGTCTTACAATTGTTTCGAATTACCGAAGTACCGGTATAGAAAAAAATCCCTAGATGCCTTTGAGTGAGGTTAGAATGAATTTCAAAGGGTAAAATCGACTGGAAGAAGTTAGGGGCGAGAAATAAAACTCGTGTTCATCATTAAAGGGTTAGAATTGTTATTTCATACGAGGAAGTAATGAGAATATTTCGTAAAGCGTATTTCCCTTCCGGGTGGATGTAAGACGATGCAAATTGTACCAACGTGATGGAGAACCAGCTCTACTGGAATTCTAATGGAACGGGTTGGTAATTCAGTCGAGTGATTCAGCATAGTAGGTTAATGCAATTGCTGTTGCACGGTGCACCAAGCAGAATAGGGTCTATGTCTACGAACCTAACCTAACAAATTTCTCGTTCCTTCAAAGGACTGAACCGCTGACCGAGAAACGCGTTTCCATTTGTTCTCAGCGACTCAGAACACGCAGTCCCAGCAATCGTTGCCTCCAGTCTCCTACGTCAAGGCCATCGACGTGTGGATGTCCTCGTGCAGCGTGTTCGTGTTCCTCTCGTTGATGGAGTTCGCCGTGGTGAACAACTACATGGGCCCAGTGGCCACCAAGGCCATGAAGGGCTACTCCGACGAGGATCTTCGAGAGGCCATCGACGAGTTCAAAGTAGGGACTTTTAGTTCCCCTTTTCTAGTTCTTTTCTCGTGTTAGAATATCCCTAGGGGAAAAATGGCGAGCTAAACTCCGCTTCCTCTCTTTCCACACCGTCCAGGCGATTAACGGGATGAGAAAAAAATCACAGAGGGCGTATCAGTCGACTCAATTAACAATTTCGATCGAGCACGGAAGAGAGAAATAAGAGAAAAATACGCCACTGTTTTTCCCTAGTTCTCGCAGAGAATTCATGTATCACGAGCTTACAATTAGCGGGCAAATTGAACGTTTCGAGAACGCAAACAACGCTGGACGCTAAAGAATTGATGCAACCGCGGACGAGTTCCGCTCGCCTCCCCGGAAACGAGTCGCGAAACGGGGGAAAAAGAGGTTAATTTCTCTCCGCCTGTCTCGCTCGGACGTTTCTTCTCGAAGCTCCGGAATCCAATATTTTTTCTAGCTTCGCGGAGAACGACGGGGAGCAATAATCCACCGACACCTGAAGCTCTAATAACACCTGACACACTTACTACGACTTTACCGCCTTAAAACCGTGACAACCGTAATTAACACGCCGCGAGGCGGACTCTTGCGATTTCTCTGACACAAAACTCGAACTTTTTCTTCCTTTTTGAGGTTATCTCGGTACTACTGTGCTGAGTTGCACTTAAATAAACGCTTTAATTGACTGCATCTAATGGAGCAACATTGGGCTCTTCCCCTAGAAAAATACGTCCACCGCCATTTTGTGTTGCTTTCAGAAGTAAATTAACTGAGTCAGGATTACTTTGATACTCTGGAGTCTGTGTCATTCTTATTTTCTATCAGAGTGTAGGGGAATTAAATGAAACAGTAATTGCAAAGATAGCAAATAGGATTTATTTGAAGTCTTTTGATACATTGTTGAGGTGAATAACATCGCAGAAGTCTAGGAGCATATTAAAGTATTAAACTGATGGTAGACCTACACCCAATGTACAGGCCTAAATTTCCCTAGTTGGTCCACAGTGTTTTGATCGCAATTTCTTTGACAGACGCCGATGAGGAACGATTCTGGGAGGAGCAGGAGTCCCGTCAGGCCCCTGACAGTGCAATACGACACTTGCTGTCAAGGTCGTGCAACCGCCATTTACATCGACAAGTTCTCCAGATTCTTCTTTCCGTTCTCCTTTCTCATCCTGAACGTCGTCTACTGGAGCACCTTCCTGTAGACGAAACCTGAGGAGAAGAAGATCCGTGAAATCGTCGACAGCTTTCGATGGCAATGCGTTTCGTCTTTGTTGGCTGCAGTTCATCTTTGACATTATCATGGAGGATGAGAACTCCAAGGCATTCGTGAGCATTGAACCAGTCAACAAAGAAGCGAACGATTTTTCTACGAGAGAAAGTCTGCTAAAAGAATTTTTAGTGCCTTTTATATTAGATACTGTATCCCCTCCCCCCCCCCTCGGTACGATTAGAGATAATAATTCTATAAATTAAGTTAATTCGATCGAGTGTACTCACCCAGGTCGCTCGTTTCGTCGCGATCCAGGGAAGGTAGATCGAGATCGTTACTTTAGGCGTTCCTTCCCCGATCATTGTAACTCCCTCCAGTCTTTTTTTTGCCACTATAGAGAGACTCGATATTTTTAACGAGATGGCGCGTCCAGGTCTTGGACTTTAGGGTGAAATGAATGAAAGATTAATAACTTTGTATGATCGTTAATGCTCAAACGTCGATCGACGCGGTAGCCTCATTCGTTGCTAAAGACGTCTGTATTTTATCAAAAGAGAAGATCCTCTCCCTTTTACCCAGTAAGTGCTCGGAGTGGACTACAGATACGATCATTCATCGATTGTTTTTGGAACCATCCCAACCCATCCGCCCTCTATCGAATGTTCTCTTCTCCCAAACATAACCTATATAAGTACTTTTATACTTGCAACCTACAACTCAGGAGTATAGAACGTTTTATCATCGATCGAGATCGTCTAATAAAATATATTAAATTGTTGACTATGCATATATTGATTTGGTGACACTGTTATCGATACTATATATTTGTGGTTAGGTTAAAAGTCAGGATTCTAGTCCGGCTGTAGCTCTGAATTATGTAATTAATATGGAATGTACACTTTTCTTCTAATTTGCTATTAAAGACGTTATAATAAAAACAGGGATGATTTCTGTAACGTTATTAATGGTATTCCTAGCCTTTGCTGACCACTGCTGACAACAGCAGGGGAATCCTGAGAACTTTGACAACACATGAGGACTGTTACTGGCCTCTGATAGCCTTTGGTGGTATCTGCTAGCCTCTATTCACCTCTGCTCATCGCAGATGACCAGTGTTAATAACAGCAGGGGACTCCTGGCAACTTCTAACATCATATGACGACTGCCAATGGCCTTTGCTAGCCTCTGATAGTCTCTGATAGCCTATGCTGGCCCCTGTACGTTTCTCCTGACAACAGCTGACCAGTGCTGACAACAGCAAAGGACTCCTGTGCAACTTCTAACATCATATGACGACTACCACTAGCCTCTGCTGGCCTCTGATAGCCTCTGCTGGCCTCTGATAAGCTCTGCTGACCTCTGTACGTTTCTCCTGACAACAGCTGACCAGTGCTAACAACAGCAGAGGACTCCTAGCAACTTCTATCATCATATGACGACTACCACTGGCCTCTGTACGCCTCTGCTCACCACAACTGACCAGTGCTAACAACAGCAGAGGACTCCTGGCAACTTCTAACATTGTATAACGATTGCCACTGGCCTCTGCTTGCTACTGCTGGCCCCTGCTTGCCACTGCTGCCCTCCACTGGCCTCTGAGTGCCTCTGCTGACCTCCATTGGCCTCTACTGACCACTGCTGACCACACCTGATACTTCTGACAACGTGTAATGATTACTACTGGCTACTGCCAGCTTCCCTCAATCTCTGCTGACATCTGCTGGCCTCTGCTCTCCTCTGCTGGCCTCTGCTGGCCTCTGCTCTCCACTGCTGACCACTGCTGACCACCCCTGATGTTTCTGGCAACTTAAAACGATTAGTACTTCCTACTGCTTGCCCCTGCTGATCTCTGCTTGCCTCTGCTGGCCTCTACTGACCTCTGGCAACATCTCCAGACGTCACCTGACCACTGCTGACCACTGCTGACCGTCGCTGACAACTTCTGATATGATATATATGTATCCAAAGCTTTGTATAATGTAAATTATTGCAATAAATGATATAATTTCAAAGAATTCTATGTGTTATCATCATTTTTACCTTTCCTTCCCACTCGAAATCACTCCCTTAGTTCTAAGAAACCGTTTTTTCGTTTAAAATTGGATTCCCGAAGTGACCAGAATATGTAGAAAATTCGAATGGCCTTGGCCTTGACCTTGACCTTGAACTCAAGGCCATTCAGATTTTCAAAGCGCCCGGAATTTTTATAAAATTCAGATGGCCTTGGCCTTGGCCTTGACCTTGAACTCAAGGCCATTCAGATTTTCAAAGCGCCCGGAATTTTTCTAAAATTCAGATGGCCTTGGCCTTGGCCTTGACCTTGACCTTGAACTCAAGGCCATTCAGATTTTCAAAGGCTTCGAAATTTTACTAAAATTCGGATGGCCTTGAACCAATTTCAAGGTCAAGGTCAAGGCCACCGGATTTCTAAACTATCCGAAACATTTCTAAGATGCTGACGGCGTTGCAAAGAGGTGGCACGTAACTTATAACTAAGGGAAGGATTTGGAGAGGAAAAAGAAGGTAAAAAATGATTTGAACACAGAATTATTTGAAATTACATCATTTATTGCCAGAACTTACATAATACAAAGCTTTCATACATATATATCATATCATAAGTTTTTGGGGAGGGTCAACAGCGGTCAGCTGTGGTCAGCAGAGGCCAGCAGAGGCCAGTGGCAGTCGTTATATGATGTCAGAAGTTGTCAGGAGTCCCCTGCTGTAGTTTGCACTGGTCACCACAGGCAAATGGAGGCCAGCAGATGCAATCAGAGGCATGCAGAGGCAAGCAATAGACCGCTCTAGTCGTTATATGTTGTCAAAAACATCAGCAGTGGTCAGCAGGATGTCGTCATGTATTGCCACAGGACACTGGTCCTGGAAAATGCAACACTGATGTTAGAACATTGCTGTTCATAAGATTCCCCAACTGTATTTTGTACAAACATACTGAATAAAACAAAATGAAATCCATTTGCATCGAGTAGTAATATTTTTTAAAGAAATTCTATCCTCTGCATGTCCAAAAAATCCCACATAACTTTCACTATTGCAAATGATCTTGTCCTTTACTGATAAGGGAGGAGCTCTAATATTTATTCACTCTGAATCTATAAATTTTATATATAAGGGAGAAAAAGAACTAGGAAATCTCTAATGTCCCTAGTCGTGGGACGTCCAGTCTATATCACTATAAATGCTACGTTTGTATTACTTACCGGAAGTCTTGAGAGCTGCTTCCAACACTGTCGACTACGAGTGTCCATGCTGGCCTCAGAAATTATACTGGTCGATGAAGAAGCTGATCAAATCGTGTCCACCATTTCTCAAATGGGGGACAACTTAATCAGAGTTACCAAGGATAGGAAGAAATAAAAAGAAAAAAAAATCCATGGACAGTGTTTTCGAAATCGAGAACAGCAACCTCGTGGCCATTTTATTCCTGCATCCTTGCACGAGTTTTCGACCAGCAGACTCGAGAGGACATCGACTAACAAAATCGATCCTATCACGTTCACGAAACCCCTAGAGAACTTAAGCTGAACTTAAGCTAAATTATTCGCGTTCGAGGCGACGGAAAAAACGAAAAAAAAACAATCGACGTGGAACGTCAAAGGATACCCTTTGAGTCGCGAGAGTTTCAGCGCCGCGGAACGACCAGTATTTAATTGAAACGAAAACGACAGGCCTCCACCTCCGGTTTCCCGCGGAATAATTAAATCCACACGCGAGGAGGCGTAATTGCGACGCGAAATAGGTGTCTCTGTTCCGCGACGAAGCTGTTGCCGCGAAAAGATGTTCTACTTCTTCGCTCCTGTCGCTTAATTAAAAAAAGAAACAACTCTTCCCTCCGCCATTGGCTTTTTAATAATCCCCCCGGAAACGGCTCGCTCTAAATAGGTTTCTAACGAGCTTTCGTTGCCGTTAACACTTTGACTGCCGTCGATGTACGATTTTTCCACAGCTAACATAATCCTCGATATTGAATTTTAACTGTAAATGTTCTCTAACAAATAATTGTGGCCAGTTTCTAAGTGTCTAAACAAAAAAAAAGACAGTAGGTTGTCTAAAAAAAAAATAAAGATTCTGCATTTAAAAAGCCTCTGTTTCGTTCAGTGTTCGGGGCAATTTGTTTCTCCGTCGATTCATTCGTGTTCCAGACGACATTTTCGTCGACGAGGATAATTTTCCAGACGGGGGGGGGGAGAAAGGGAGTGCAATCTACCATCGCCCAGCACGCGCCGACTGTGGCACTCGAGGTCGTTTCTGGCCGCTGTCTGTCTCCCTCTCCCCAGTTGTCGTTTAAAGAGAAAAAAAAAACGAGGCGGAGAGTAACGGGAGACGCTGAAAAAAGCCGACACAATACCCACGGAGGGAGACAAACACGCGTGCAAGGCGAGAGTTTTTAATCATGGCATTTTATCCTGAGAGAGCCTTTGTGACGAAGATACTTTCGCGTGTTTCACCGACTAACTCTCCGACCAGAGCTATTCCTCTTTTTCTCTGTTTACTCGAAAGCTTTGTACCCCTCCTCCCTTTGTACTCCAACGCGTTTCGACGATTTAACCCTACTTCTCAGCTTCACCTCTTAATCCCTTTTCCGATGCACCGAATGTCTCCAAAGCACCGTTGGAAATTACTCTTTGTCGATTCTCGGTCGTCTGTTTCCTATTGTCCCCTGTAACCCCTTCTTTTGACTCATTGTTCCTATCTTACTCCAAATCTAGAATCTAAACTAAAATAAATTGTAGAATTTTTCACGAGAGACAATCCTAAAGTTGCAATTTCTCTTCTACATATTTCAAAGTGACCTAAGAGTCACGAATTTCATTTAAATTCATCGAGAACGGACCCCTCTCTTAGATGTGATCGCCACGACGGTCGAGGCGCTACTGACCCTCCGCGTGGAGTTGACCGGTCAACGGAGCACGCGTACGATTGGCGCCCCACTCCATTGGCGACTCCACGGTCTACGCGCCATTGGCCGAGCGTGTGAGGTGGCTACTGGGGGGGATACGTGTCCCCCCGTCCCCCGTGACACCCCCTCTAGCCAACACCTCGCGGAGGAGCAGTAGCTTCGCTCTCGTTTTTTCCACGAGTCTTCCCAACTAAAGACGCTTCGACGAAGACGCGTGCAATTAACGCACGCGTTTCGACGCCATCGCGGTTCCAGGGTGGATCGAGGACAACCGCTACCCTTAACGAGATCCCTTCATTT